ATATAATAATGATTATATAATATAATATAATATAATATAGTTGTAATTTTTAATTATATTATAACTGAAATATTAATATTTTTTATGTAATATTATAATATTTTTATAATATTATAATTATATTAAGTATTTTAATAATAATATTATATTCTATATTATAATGATATAATATATTATATAATAATAGTTTTTTTATTATATTAAATATAATATTAAATATATATTATATTGTAATTATATATATTATATTATAATATAATATAATATAGTCGTAATTTTTAACTATTCACAACAATTCAAACTCATAATTTACTAAACGCTATTACACTAATTTTGAAACCAACATAGCTACTATAATTATAATTTACCAAAAAGTTACTTTTTGTAACAGTTACTTCTTCCTTCAGCACAGTTAAAAGTAATTTTTTTTAAAATCTACAACACTACTAAACTAAGCCATAATCGATCCCAAATTGTTATAAAAGTTATTATTTTTGTACTAGATACTACATAGATCACACTGACTTAAATATTTCCTTGATGATCTTGTCAAAAATAGGGACCGACGCATGGACCTGCCCCACCCACTTTAAAATAATAATGATAATGATAATTCTACAGAAATCAGTATGGAGTATCAAACATTGAACTCATTGAGAAAATATAAAGAAAAAAAGGGAAAATTTGTGTTCTTTTTCGATTAACAGTTAAATGAACTATAATGGTTATGTTCACAACTGTAATTGGGTACGGAAAAGTATCTTATTAATAAGACACAATATTGATATCTAAAGTTACATTAGAATCACTTTGGATAAAACGAAATTATATGTAAAAATCTAATAGAAGTTTATAATTAATAATTTGATGGTTCAATTCAAACCGTTAACCTATTGTTTAGATGTCGTTATACATGTGTATTTTATTTGTCCACAATTTGACATTTAACGAGTAAATTTATTTGAACACTATGAGCGCATTTAAAACTCATTCTAAAATAATTTTATTTTTTGTATGAAAATGAAAATGAAAACGTTTTCAATCTCAAACAGAAATCATTTTTAAAAATGCGTTTGGTAGTTTTATTAAGAGATTATTTTCAGTGTAAAAAAACTCATTAATATCTCTCTTTCTCTCTCTCTGCTCGAGAGAGGAGAAAACGAAAATAAAAAATGAAAAACGACTAAAAGTCATTTTTCATTTCTCTATCATTTTACACTAAATCAAAAAATCATTTTTATTTATGGTTTTTATCTTTATTGCACCAAACGCCGTTTTAAAAATTTTCATTTTTTTTAAAAAAACGTGAAAAGTAAAAACGAGATCAATTTCAAACACGACCTATATGTTGATGAGAAATACCATTTCACATTGAATAAAAAGAAGCAATGATGTCCCGTCTTCTATTCACATTATCAATAGTTGAAAAAATAAATCTAAAAAATGCTTCAAAGCACTCCATTTATGGGTCTCATACAGTAGAATCTACTTTTAATTAGTGAGTGATACTTAGTACTATCGGTACTCAGTAACACTGTTTAATAAATCTTAGCTCAATCTCTACTTAAATGATGATTTCACTTTCCCTCCCACTAAACTACAAGTTCAACACCACAAAGTACGTTGACCAGATATGAACTTTAAAGTGAGTGTGGAGTATAAAACATTGAACTCATCGAGAAAATATAAGGGGAAAAAAAAGTTTAAGCCTTATTCATTTCACCGATTCGAGTTTTCAGTTTTAAGTTTCTACAGTAAAAAGCTTTAAAAAAAGGTCACATCTAACTTTTTCTGCTACAGTCAAAAACTCTCAAAAAATGTCATATCTCAGCTCGAATTGAAAACTCGAATCCGCAAAGTGAACGAAACCTTACTCATTAGTGGTAACAAGTAATGAGGGATCTTTGTTAACGAGAAACACATGGGCTATAAATCATCATGTACTCATATTTGCAGTTTTGTTTTTTTTTAATTGAGAGGGGACATATTAGTGCTTTTTTGTACCTAAAATAATGATGAAGAAAAGAATTTATCATATTTTAGAAAATAAATAAAGTACAATACATAAAGAAAATTCTATTAGAGACAAAGAATAAAGTAAGGTTGTACGCGGTCGGTTTAGACCTTTTTTTTTTAAAAAAAAAAAAACCACTAATTAAATTAAAAAAAATTCTTTTAGACGGTTTAATATTTTCAACAAAAATTAAATTGAACCAAATCACTAAACGGTTTGAACGCTTTAATTTAGGCGGTTTAATCTTAAACTAAAAAGATTTTAATAATTCATAAAAATTATAAAATTATTAATCAATAAAAACAAAAAGAGTATTCAAGTTTATAATATAATTTAAAAATAAGTAGCAATCAAGAATGCTAGCACATTAGCATCCACTAGCGCACCCATCCCACACTAAATCAAGTTCTTATATCAGTTATCATCTCTTATAATTCACTTAAAAAAAACAGAAGAAATCATGCATGAATATATTTTTTTATGGAAATGAAAAATGATTTTTTGTCCCACATATATATACACGTTCACTCACCAAATATCCAGAATACGCGTTCAATTTGTCTGATGAAGCTCCTGCATGTCTCATAATTTTCAGGATAAAAATTTTACTTTTGTTTTTGTTTTGGTCATCTTCTTCGTCTGTGACTGTTTCCTCGTTCATGCTGATACTTGTAACAATGAAGTTTGGTTACAGAATCTCCGCGCCCATGTCCAGCTTTAAGGGCAATTTGACAGAGAGGTTTAAAAATCCATTAAGAAGATGTGTATATTCCTTAATTGGCAAGCAGGAGACGAATTCAGCAAACTTCATTGCCCTGTCAAACTTTATTGTGTGGATATTTAAAAGGGTGTCGGATTTATTTGCTGAATTCGTCTCCTGCTTGCCAATTAAGGAATATACACATCCTCTTAATGGATTTTTAAACCTCTCTGTCAAATTGCCCTTAAAGCCGGACATGGGCGTGGAGATTCTGTAACCAAACTTTATTGTTGCAAGTATCAGCAGTAAATGTTCCGACTCATACACCTGAAAAAGAAGCACGGTGGGCAAGACCAAAGAGAAATTTTTTGCTAGTGTGAGTGGAAGGATAAAGAATTTTCACAGTTAAACTTTCTTGAGTCAGGAGGAAAAAATTAGGTAAAGATGAAAGTGGTGGTAATATTGATCAGTTACTAAATTCTGGAAATACATTACATTGGAAAGCATGGAAGAAGCTGAGGGTGGGGCTCTGTAGGACATTTTACGGAGAGAGGATGTTCCCAAGCTGCAGGAGTATCTGAAAAAAGCATTTCAGAGAATTTTAGCCACACTGACTGTTGTCCAGTACAACAGGTTATTCACCCCAGTCATGATCAGACCATGTATTTGACTATGGAGCACAAAAGGAAGCTTAAGGAGGGATATTGGATTGAACCATGGACCTTTGTCCAAAAACGTGGAGATGCTGTCTTCATACCTGCTGGCTGTCTCATCAAGTTAGAAACTTGAAGTCCTGCATAAAAGTCGCACTCGACTTTGTCTCACCCGAAATTGTTGATGAGTGCGTTCAGTTGACAGGAAGAATTCCGAACTCTCCCTTCCAGTCACAGGGCTAAGAAGGCCAACTTGGAGGTGAAAAAGATGGCCCTTTATGCAGTGAAGGAAGTTGTGGAATCTTTGGATCCAAAAGAAAGGTCTAAGAGAAAGTGAAATCAGGAAAAGGGAAATGAAGGAAAGTGAAAGTTCTCCAAGAAGACGGAGCCCTTACTATATTCAACCTAAATGATTGCCATAGTTTCAACCGAGTACTCTTTTTTGGCGTGGTGTATATCCTCTCTATAAAAACTGTCTTCTCTACTCTCCTTGTGCAGTTGCTGCTCTCTGTTTTTGCCTAGAAGTATGGAGAGTTTATGACTGATACAATGAAAGGTTAACATGGTTGTTAAGAACTTCCTTTTGTAGAAACACTTTGAAGCAATACAATTTTACGATCTTTCATAATTCTAAGATACTTCTCTGCTTGCTCCAATTTTCCAGATCGACAAAGGCTCTTAATCAACGTTGTAAAAACCAATGATCCAGGAGATATTGACTTGCTCACCATTTCATAAAAGAGCTTAAGAACTTCTTCCACATCGCCTTTCTTCTCATAGCCAACAATGAGACTAGCATATGTGATGTCATTCGGTGAGAACCCTTTCTCTAACAATCGAGTTAGCATCGCATTTGCTTTTTCCGCTTCTCCATTCTCACAAAGCTTGTGAACCATCTCATTGAAAGCTGCACAACTAGGAACGAAGCCCTTCTCCATCATTACCTCACAATTCCTTAAGCTTTCTTCCAATCTTCCGGCTTTGGCATAACACTCAACAAGAGAGTTGTAAGTCTCCTCATATGGTTTCAAACCCATGTCTTCCATATCTTTCATCATGCAATGCGTTTCGTCGATTCTTCCCTCTTTGCAGTATGCTCTTATAAACAATGTATAAACAAAAGGGTTCGCTCGAAAGCCTCTTTTGAGCATTTCCTCGTACACATCCTGTGCAGAAACTATATTTCCAAGCTTTAGTTTAGCATAAACAATCAAAGAGTAAGCAATTGTGTCAAACAACATATTCCTTTGCAACATTCTTTTCAACAACACAACACCTTCCTCAACTCTTCCTTCCTCAAAAATCTTGAAAACCAAACTGGTGTTCACAATCACAGAAGGAGAGCATCTTCTCCCATGAATCCTATCCAACATTTCAACATATTTTTGCAACTTCCCTTCTTTACACAAAGAGCTAATCAATGTTCTAATCGTCGATTGATTTGGGTAAATTCTCCTCCAAATCATATGCTCATAGATCCTCCAAACCATAGTGTTCTCATCAGATTTCTCAACAACGTGTATAAAAGTGTTGAAACTCACCAGGTTCAATGAAAACCCATGTTCTTCCAAATAGCAACAAACGTCAAAACCAGAGTCAAACATTCTCAACCTGGAATAAGACTGCACAAGCAGATCAAACACAAATGGGGTTGAATCAGTAATCTTGTAACAACTTAGTAGTGAATCAACCACCAAGAACTTGGAAGAATCCCCTGCATTTTTCTTCAAAACCGTTTCGATCAAAGCTCTAGCATCCAAGTTCAGCCGAGCTCGGACCAAGATGTGAATGGCTAAGCAGTAAGACCGAAGGCAATGTTGGAAATTTACTCTGTGTGCTGCCCAGTGGAAGAAACCTAGAGCCCATTTTGCATCAATAGGTTGCTTTAATTCCAAGAGTATTTTCTCGATGAGTTGTTCATTGAACTCGATGTGATGGAATTCCCTAGAGAGGGTATCCCAAGTCCATCCGCTTCTGAACGCATTGCATATGGCTTTGACAACATTATTTGGAGCTATTGGTTTTGTTACTGTATGAATCAAGTGAGATGGCTCTGAACGAGGATTGAAACAACATAGTTGCCAAGGAGATTTCAAGGATTTGAAGATTAGAGATGGGACTATTTGACGCAGTAAGCTCATGTCCTGTGAAACATAGGAAACAGTTGTATTAAAAATCATCTTCTACCAAAAAAAAAAAAAGAAAAAAAAGAAAAAAACCATTAGCATCAATGAAAAATGCATATAAGGAGACCAGTACCATATTCTTAATCTTATACCGTACATCACGAGTATGTACAACCTCTTTTTTTATAAGAAATAGGAAACTTCATTGATCAAGTAAAAAATACAGAAGGTTCAGGATGGATGAGAAATCCATTGATAAGGAAACAAAGAGAACAAAACAGAAAACAACGAATGAAAAACTAAACCCAGAATCCAAAACAAGGACAAAAACAACCAGAAAACTAGAAAATAGATTATGTGCCCCATCTTATTCAAGATGTCATCCCAACTTAACAAGAATAAGATGTCATCCCAACTTAACAAGATAAGCAAAAGCGGAAAATTTTTAAAGTAAGAATCTGGTGAAGACCACAAAGGTGCTAGGTATTTTGCTTTCTCGAATCAATCTTCGAAAGGCACCTCTTTCTCCTCAAAAACTCTCTGATTTCTCTCAAGCCAGAGGACCCCAAATAATAGCTAAAGTCAGAGCCCTCCAGATTGTCTTAGCCTTTTTGTCCCGACAACCCTATTCAAACTATAAGAGCACCGCGTCATGTTGCAAGAGTTCTATATGAGGAATGTAAGATTCCACTCTCATCTTCACCTCCAGCTTTCTCAGCAATTCATAAATCTTCTCAAAGTTTGGGTGAAATCTATCTCCGGAAACAAAGCTATAGATTTCAGTTCCTGCTTCAACCGTACTTTTCCCAATCGTCTTCTTCAGCTTCTTCTCCCTAATAAGAGTTCTAAGTTCTGCTACACTTTCCCATTTCTCATCCACAGCATAGATATTTGATAACATGTAATACCCCGCATGAGTACAATCTAACTTGCAAAGATTCTTTGCTCCAACCTCTCCCAGCTTGATATTGTGATGTATTCGACATGCACCAAGCAAGGCTCCCCAAACATATGGCTCGGCCAGAAATGACATTTTATTAACGATTTCCATGGCCTTGTCCAACTCTCCAGCCCGACCAAGAAGATCGACAATTATCCCATAATGCTCAGAATTGGGCATCAGTTGGTATTTATGCATCATTATATTTAAATACTTCCCTCCTTTCCCTTTCCTCTTTGTCTCACTTTCCTAATTTCCCTCAAATAAAAACCCCAACAAACACACCCAAACATTCAGCATCTCTCTCTCCCCCAAACACACCCATCTCAATTTTTCTCCCCATTCTACCCAAACAAATCACCTCAATAACATCCCAATACATATTAGAAATTACACACACAACCATTTTACATAGAAGACACACAAAAACACACGCGCCAAAAAAGAAATTGTGCACCTCGGTGGCCAAAGTGAGCACTGGTGGCGTCTCAAACTCAACAACACTAAGGGCCCGTTTGCTTCATATACTCAAACTCAAATCATTGATTTTACTATAGTGTTTTCTTCTCACAAAGAATTTAAATTTCAAACATCATAACGAAGAATCATGGCTTGAGTATACCTTCCAAATGGGCCCCAAGTAGCACACCTAAAAGCAATGGAAAGTCAGTTCTGACTCTAAAACCTATTATATATACCAACAAAAATGAAAAAATGGAAAACAACACTAAAACTGAAAAACAAACGAAACGTAAATTCAAGAAGCATACATTCAAGAACCAACAGAATACCATCTAACCCATAACAAATCCCTTCTTAAAAAAGGAAAAACAGAATATAAATTAATACCCAAATCAAGAAGCACAATCAAATACAAGGTTGATGAAGAGAAGGGCACCACCAGCAAATCTGGAACAATCTGAATGAACCCACAACAGAAAAATCCACCAGTAATTTTTGCTCATGAATGTAACTAATGCTTCCGTTTTCGTACGAAAGACGGAAGGAAAGAAGAAATAAAAAAGAAATCAAAGCAAGAACTGGTTAGCCCCAAGAGAAGTTAAAGAGATGGAAAATGACAAAACTCTGAGAAAAACACAACAAAAGAGAGAGCAGTCAATTGGAAACAAGAGTAACCAAAAACAAAAGGAGATGAAAATCAGATAATCAAATACACCGACTATGAAGCCTATAATTCACACAATAAAATTATGAACTTGGCTGACACTAGGTTTTAATTCTAGGGTTTAAAGAAATCCCAAACAGTTTCTACAACCAAAAATTCAATATCAGATGGGCAAAAATAATCAAAACTCAAACAAAAATAAAAAATAAAAAATAAAACAAAACAATGTCAAACAATTTCATTTTCTCCGTAGGTGAGAGAGTGTCAAGGCCAAAAAAAAAAAAAAAAAAAAACGGGAAGCCGCAGAATTACCATAAACTTTTGGGGGGAAGCCGACCAAAACCAGTTTCACAAATGACCATTTTTGAGTTTGAAGAACAAGAATTAAATGCGCAAAAAGATTTAGTAAAAAACAAATACCTTGAGTTTCCGTTCCTTCTTTCCTTCGGAGATTGTAGAATCAGTTGTGACAAAAAAGAGCAAAAACCACAAAGTGGACTTCGGAAGGGAAAGAATGACAAAATGACAAGAATTTTATATAATAAAAAAAATTACTCAGTATTTTCCTAGGCAAAAAAAAAAAATACCAATATTTTGTTTGAGAATTTATCGGGTGCAACTCTGTAGGTGCATTTGAAACTCATTTTAAAATAATTTTATTTTTTATATGAAAATAAAAATAAAAATATTTTTATTTTTAAGTAAAAATTATTTTTAAAAATGTGTTTAGTAATTTTATTAAGAAATTATTTTCAGTCTAAAAAAATTAAAAATTGTGTTTGGTAGTTTTATTTTTAAAAATATATAATAATATTTAAAATAATAATATATTAAATAATTTCAAATTAAATCTCAAATAAAAACATTAATAATTAATACAATAATTTAAATTACAGTACATAGTAAATAATTTATACGTACAACACTCTCACTTCATTTTGGTTTTTCTTATCAAGCCAAAGCAAAATATCAACGAATAAACGACAAGATTTTCTTTATTGTCTCAACATCTACCTAAGTTCCATATATGAATTAGACGATCAGTTTGCCAGAAGAAAGCAATTCTAATATTCATTTTTCAATAGCTCAATTTCTCTTGTACAATTGAAGGAATAATAGAAACATCCATGTAACTATAGCAACTAGTGTAAGTCATCATTGACGAATTTGACCTGAGAACAGCAAATATCAATCCATACCAGAGAAAAGCAAAATACCCAGGATTGTCGAGAACAACAAAAAATCATCTAAACACCCAAAAATACCGAGAACTGCAAATCAAGACAAAGATCAGCAAAAAAAAAAAAAAAAAAAAAAAACCCCAAAACATCAACAAATACTGGCAATACTCGAAAAAATACCAACCTAAACTCCCAAAAATACCCGAGAACAGGCAAATCATAACAAATACCAGCAAAAAAAAATGACCCAGATCTTTAGCTAGAACCGCCAATACTTGAAAAAATCATCATCAAATCAAATTAATGGGCATACCTCGGTTGATTTGGGAGAGTATGGGCAGAGCAGAGTCGGAGATCAGAGAAGAAGGCTGTCGTTTAGATCCCGAGACCTGTGATTCCAGCTAGAAGCCCGCTGCAAAGAGGGAGAGAAGAGAACGGTGAGAGGGATGGAGGTGAGCTAGAGAAAATGAAAACAGAAAAAATGAAAACGACTTTAATCCGTTTTCAGAAAGATATCAATTTTAGGGAAAAATACAAAAACGTTTTTATTTTTTATTTTGGTACGGTGCTTCCCCAAACACGGTCTTCTTTTCAGTTTCAATTTTTTCTCCTCGGAAAACATCAAAAACGCTTTCAAAACTGAAAACAAACACGCCCTATATTTTGGACTACATTCTACACCACGTTCGAGTAAAATCGTGTGGTAGAAAGGCTACAACAATTCTTATACAACCCTATTAGAAGTTACATTAGAGATGTGCTTTAAAGCATTATACGTGTATTATCTCGCATCCAACACGAATTATATCTGATCTAACAATTCTAAATGGTTCTCGGGCTGTCACGTGGTAATTCCTCTACTTATTTTTTTTTCTTTTTTCATGTTTTTACTTTTTTATTTTTATTTTTTTGAAATTTTTTACATTTTAATTTTTTTGTGTGTTTTTTTAAAATATATATTATTCCTCACATTATTCGTATGAGAGTAATTTTTTCATTTCTGTTCCTATTTTATTTTTAGTTGGTTATAATAATTTTTGCAAATGTGTCCTTACTTAAAAATTTTTTCAATTGTTATCTTTACACATATTTCCTTTTAAAATAAATTTAAAAGTCCTTAAATAGTTGTATGAATGAATTTCTCATTTTTCAATAAATAATAAGCTCTTTTAAGTGCCTTTAACACGATAATATGTCTAGAACACATTACAAACTAGTTTGATAAAAAAGAAGAGAATTAAAATTACTTTCGCTTCTGAGTTTGAAAGCTATCGGTGAACCCAAATCCAAATCTACAACCCGTACCCTTGTGTTCCAACTCCCGGCGATGAAAATCTGGCCACCTGAAACCCAAATATTTGTCTTTTCCTGTCGACAAAGATACATCACCCAAAAACATTCTGTAATAATCAGAAATCATCATAGGCGAATGCAATTTGTACTAGTGGAAACAATCAACGTCGATTTCTCTCGCAACGATGTCGACCAGCGCGATAGAAAACCAGACCCAGTTTTAGAATAATTAGCATAGGCGACCACCATGGCAGAAACATCTCTACGCGTCAAATCGTCAAGTACGTGTACGGCCGCCGTAGATAATAGGGGTGTAAGAATTGAACCCGAACCCGACAAACCCGCCCGAGCCTACCCGAGCCTACCCGAAAATGTTTGGTTAATTTTTTATTTTTTTTATTTTCAGATTATAATAGGCCCAACCCACAATTTGCGGGTTGGGCCGCGGGTGGGGCAACTTCTCACCCGAGTTGCCCCGACCCGGCCGTTCATTAGTAATGAGAGACCCCCCCCCCAAGATTAATGTGTTGTGTTCGTGTGAAGACAGAGTCTGACTCTGAGTAACCGTAATCCCCCAAACCCGTGTAATGTGAGAGTGAGACAGACTTCCTTCACTTTCAATTTTCATTTTTCCTTCCTCCCACCCACCCAGTCGCCACTCGCCGGCCGCCGTCAGTCCCAGCCTCTCAGTCCCAACCTTCGCACACACTGCTGACTCCCAGTCCCCTGCCGTGAGTCCACTCCGGTTTCACTTCAAGCTTCCCTCGCTCGCCTCTGAAGCCTGAGTCGCCTCAATCTTCCACTTTTTTTCACCGTAAGTGTTTTTTTTCTTGATTGATGTGTGCTATCAACTTATCACCGGATTATTACCAGATTATCAACTTATCACCGGTTTCACCGGGTTTTGGGTTAATGTTGGTTTGGACTCCAAACCAACATTAACCCAAATTTGAAATAAAAGCATGAGAAAGAAATAAACTTTGGAATAACCAAAGTTTATTCCAACATTTCAGTCGTAACTCAGTGAATGTTGTTTTGTTGCAATGTTTCTGCCGTTTTGTTGTCATTTTTAGCATGAGAAACAGAGAAAGAAATAAAAGCATGTTGAATTTTGACGCAGGGCATGACTGAGGAGCTGCTGCCTCTTGTTCAATTTAGCAATCTTACTCTCTCGTTTTCTTTTGAAAGCTCATTTGAGGAGGAGCTGCTGCCTCTTGGTAAGTTCTAGCCTTGATGTTTCAATGCATATGTTAAATTATAGGGAAATTGTGTTTCAATGCAGATGTTGAATTGGTGTTTGGTAGGGAAATTGTAGCCATTTAAGTCAACTCCACGTTTTGTAGGGTTATAATTAAAAAGAAAAAAGGGGAATTTGTTTGAGGGAAAATATATTTCAAACAATTCTTTATGCTCAAGTTTGTTCTGTAAAGTGATAACGCATCCCATCATCACATCAAGCAAATCCACATAATTGAATAAGAATACAAGTAACAAATTTATCTTAGGAAGAAAGTAGGCTTTAGAAAAAAAAAAATATATATATATATATATACGGAATATACTCCTCCGTTAACTTCTTTAATCCTCATTCAGTTTTGTGCCGTTTAAATTGTTTTAAAAGAAAATTTTAAAAGAAAAAAGAAATATGAATCTAGGAGACTAGGACTGAGAATTTTTTAGCAGGGCATAATTCTTTGGATAAATTCTAGTTTGTCAATTTGGATCCATTTTGTTTTAGGCATAGTAGGTGGAGGAAAATGCACTTCGTTTATGATATTTATAGGCACATTATTACTAATGAAATAATAAGTAATTTATGAATGGCAAATACTTATTCCTCTTTAACTTATTCAGAATCAAATGCTTGAAATCCAATAAATCTTAGAGTTTACTCTTTCAAAAGTTATAACTTATTCATGTTGATTTAACTTATTCATGTTGTACTTATTTAGTATTTACCCAGAGCCTTAAGGTTTGTGATGACATAAAATTGATGATATATCATAATAAGGCATCTACTAAATCATACTACTTTCATAATAAGGCATCTACTAAATCATACTACTATAAGACATACATACTACTATGTTAGTAATCTCTACGCTTAGTCTCAATCATATGTTATCTGTTTTTTAGGTTAATTTGCGTGGTAGATGGAAAAATTTATCATCCACCCGACAAAAACTTCTGAAAGCACTTGCAAGTCCTCTGCTAAAACAAAAAGTGTCTCTATGCCTAAAGAGCCCATTACATTGCCCACTCCCACACCCAGCCCTACCCCTATACCTAATTTGGGCACTAAAATTGAAAATGAAAAAGAGGAGGGAGACAATAAAAAGAGGAAGAAGTCACAAAAAAAGTCTCCTGTTTGGGATCATTTCAAAATCATAAAGAGTGGGGATCCAAATGAGCCTAGGTGTAAGTGTATTTACTGTGGGGCAACATATGCATGTGATACTAGGAGACACGGTACCAGTAGTATGAAGGTTCACATAGAAAAGTAATGCAAGAAATACCCATATAGGAACCAAGACAAAAGGAAAAAAACTCTGAGTTTCCAAACAAACACTGAAACTGGGAGTAGTCTTGTTGCTATAGGCTTTAACAAGGAGCATTGCAGAAAAGTGTTAGCAAAAATGGTGATTGTAGATGAGCTTTCATTTAGGTTTGTTGAAGGTGAAGGATTTAAGAATTTTTGTCAAGTGATGCAGCCTAGGTTCTCTATCCCCTCCCGTGTTACGATTGCTAAGGACATTTACCAACTTTTTTTGGAAGAGAGGAAGAAACTAAGGGCTGAATTTAGTAAGGGCAGTCAAAGGATTTGCCTAACAACTGATTGTTGGACATCCGTGTAAAATATTAATTATTTGTGTCTAACTGCACACTACGTTGATAGTGAGTGGACTTTGCAAAAAAGGATTATAAACTTTTGTCAAATTTCAAGTCACAAGGGAGAGAGTGTTGGTAAAGTCATTGAGTCATGTTTGCATGCTTAGGGTATTGAGAGAGTCTTCACTATGACTATTGATAATGCCTCCTCAAATGATTCCATGATTACCTACTTGAGAAGGAAGATTAAGGGGTGGAAAGAGGTTGTTTTAGGTGGAGAATTTCTTCATGTTAGGTGTTGTGCCCATATAGTGAACCTGATTGTCAATGAAGGTTTAAAATACCTACATGATTCCATAGCTACCGTTCGTAACGCTGTGAGATATGTGAGGTCTTCTCCGGCTGGGTTGCTGAAATTCAAGTCATGTGTGGAGCGAGAGAAAATTGAATACAAAGGTCTCGTATGCTTAGATGTTCCTACTAGATGGAACTCCACCCATATGATGTTAGATGCAGCTATTAAGTTTCAAAAAGCTTTTGAAAGATATGAAGAGGAAGATGACAAGTTTGTGTCTTATTTTCAGGAAGATGAGGGGGGGAAGCGGAAGATTGGGCCGCCACTTGATGATGATTGGAAGAATGTTAAGGTGTTTGTGAAATTTCTGAAGACTTTTTATGATATAACTTTGAAGTTTAGTGCCACTTTGAATGTCACTTCAAATTATTACTTTCATGAGCTGTGTGAGATGCAAAACCAGTTATCTGAATTAAGCAAACAAGATGATTCAATGCTTTCATCCATGGCTGTGAGTATGAAAAAGAAGTATGACAAGTATTGGGGGAGTGTTGAGAATATAAATTGTCTTCTCTTTGTGGCTGTTGTACTTGATCCTAGGTACAAAATGGATTATTTGACATATTGTTTCTCTATAGTGTATGATTCTTCCACTTCTGAAACATTAGCAAAGAATGTGAAGGATACTATGTACCGGCTGCATGAGATTTATAGTGGGGACAGAGGTGAATCTGTGGCCAATGCAAGTAGTGGGGAGGCAGCAACAACAAGTACAACAGAGGCAAAAATGACTCCAGAAGGAAAAGGGTGTTTGTGGAGCTCCTTTGTTAGGAAAATGAAGGAGAAGAATGTGAATGAGTACAAAAATGATGTGGACAGATACTTGACAGACCCTATGGAGGATCCAACTCGGTCAAATTTTGATGTTTTAGAATGGTGGAAGAATAATGCAACTAATTACAAGGTTCTCTCACTAGTTGCAAGAGACATTCTTGCCATTCATGTTTCAACGGTAGCCTCAGAATCTGCTTTTAGTACCGGAGGCCGCATCCTCGATCCCTTTAGGAGTTCATTGAGCCCCAAGATGGTGGAGGCATTGATTTGTACACAAAATTAGCTGCGTAGTCGTGAGCACATCAACCTTATTGACTTGGAAGAATTTAATGAATATGAAGATATTAAGTCATGTAATCTTCTTACGTTTTACTTATTTTTTTTTAATTTTATTTCATCTCCTTGTTGTTGATTTTGTTGTTCTAAACTTGATTCTGATGATTTTTTTGTTATGTTTTCTTCTCAAGATTTGTCAAATTCTGTTGCAACACATGAGGGGCAAGTTGGGAATGAAGAAGCTATTATTCTGGATTAAACAGTTTGGAGTGGACTAACTTTTATTTCACGTCCTATTTTGTGACTATTTTTATATGGACTGTTTATCTTCATATGGATTATTTATTCTAAATTAAACTGTTTATTTTATATGGACTATTATGCATGTTAGAAGGGTACCAATCTAATTGAAATATTCTAGTTGTTTTTATATTAGTTATCTGCTTTCACCAACCCGAGTAACCCGAGTAACCCTACCCTACCCGCGGTCACCCGAAATGTTGCGGGTTTGTAGATTTAAAAGAGTGTCGCGGCTCAAAATTTTCTCAACCCGCACTGGTCGGGTAGGCTCAATTTTTCGGCTCAACCCTACCCTACCCGGCCAATTTACACCCCTAGCAGATAACCGCCCCGCTCTTCAAATACTCAAGGTTGGTTACCTCGCGCGCAGTGTTTAATGACATTTTCTGGCAATACTACCTATTTTTTCTTTTGGTAATTATCTGGCAATAGTACCTGAATCTCGAAGATTTGGTTATGTTCTTCTCACAACTCAAGTCTTTTTGTTACAATATTTTCTCTCATAAAAATTTAAATTTAACTTTTTTTCTATAATATTTTCTCTCACATAAAAAAATTTACTTGTTATTTGAGTTGTAAAGAGAACACCCTCAGTACTTTTTTTGGTAGATAAAGCGGAACAATCTTGCAGAGTACTAGGTTTTGTTCATTTTACCGATTTGACTTTTTAATTCTAAGTTTTTACAATTAAAACCTTTCAGAAAATGTCACATCTAATTTTTTTTATAATAGTTGAAAACTCTTAAAAAATGTCACATCTTAATTCGAATTGAAAATTTAAGGGCCCGTTTAGTTCGCTGATTCGAGTTTGTAATTCGAATTGAAATGTGATTTTATGTGAGAGCTTTTAATTATAGCAAAAAAATTAGATATGACTGTTTCTGAGAGTGTTTTACTGTATTAAAACTCAAATTTTAAACTCAAACATGAAAAATAAGACGGATAGAAGCACGTAAAACTATCACACGCGTCTGAGGAAAACTTTTACACACTCGCCACGTCTGCATGTGTTTGTACCTATTTGGTACTGCAACTTTTGCTCTGATGTTGTGCGGTGCAAGATAGTTCGATATAACAACAATATTTCAGCCAATAAAAGTGGAGTCAACTATTCTTTTACTTGGACTACTGGTAATTAAAAAAAAATAGGGTCACAGAGGAGAATAAGGGGATGTTTGGTTAGAGGATTCAAACCATGATTTGAATCATAGTTCATGGTTCACTATAGTATTTTCTCTTACAAAAAATACACGTAAATCAAAAATAATTCTAATCACATGATTCTAATCCATGAATCAAACGTCTCCTAAGTTTATTCATATATTTTAAGGAGAATGAAAGAAATTAAAAATAGGGTCACACAGGAGAAAGATTTTATTCATATATTTTAAGGAGAATGAGGGAAATAGTATATTTGATGTAATTAAATTACGGAAAGTATAGAACCCGTTTGGTAGTGTTCTTAAAATGTTTTTATTTTAAATACAAAAATAGAAATGAGAATTTTTAAAAATAGTGTTAGTGATAATTTTTAAAATTGTGTTTAGTTGTTTTTCTTTTAAATTTGTTTTAGCTATTAAAAAAAGTGAAATTGTGTTTATGTATACTTTTAGAACGTGTATTAAGTTATAACTTAGAAAATAAAAATATAAGAGGAAAATCAACTTTTAAGCATGCTTGTTTTTTTAACAAAATCTATTCTTTCTATATTTTGTTTTTATTTTCGCTTTCAAAGTATTTTCTAATCAAATACAATTTATAGACTGTTTTCATTTTACTATCTTAATAGAAGTGCAAAAACATTTTTAAAACCCGCTGGAATCAATTTCAAACCTACTAGACCAGATGTGGTGCCAGCCACAGGGAGATATTCCTCTTATGGCCGAATTTTATCCGTAGCATGAGAGAGAAAATTTGTTCTAAATTTAAATGAGAATGTATCTTGATTTTAAATGTGATTTAAAATTAAGATCAGCAGCAATTTTGTAAGCCTTATCTTTTGAAGATAAGATCATAGTTCTACTAAGACTTTGACTACATCTCTATAAATAAGTGATATGAGAAAAATAGATAACACAATCTTTTTTTTTTTTGACTTAATTTTGCATACTAATCGGCATGTAAAACTAGAGAGAAAAAGAGAATAAATTTCTTTCCGTTCGAGTTCTTCTTTACTCGTGTGTTGAGATTAGTACGAGCGAAATTAGCTAAGTGATCATTAATGTTTATTCTAAAAATTACCCACACACTAGTCTAGCAGGTTTCAAGGACCAGGCGAGAAAGGTTTTGTGGTTTCTAAGAATCTTAGAGTGAGAATTGTTATTGGTCAAATAATTCAAATTATGGACCTATTGCTTCAACCAAGTGAGATAAATAATTAGACTATTTTTCCCGGTCACATAAATTAAAGTAATATATAGTGTATTGCTCTAAAAGTTTAGAGAAAATTTTTGTTATATACAACTAGTACCAATTCGATTCTGCATTATTTTTGTCTAAGATCGTATTAGAAACCAACAGAAAAAGATCAATTTATTCTTAATCAAACTGAAAATGCCATACATTCATAAAATGCTTTAAAATAACATACTATTCCTAACATTTTTATGTGGTTTAGTAAAGCTTCAAACCGAATTGACCTCTAATTAGCTTTTATTGCGAGTACTAGTGCTAAAACACATTATTAATCACCCCAATATAATGAAATATATGTTGATTCTCCGAAGAGATTACATTAGCCAAAATTCAAGTGATAATTTACTTTGATAACTTAATTAGGAGATATTACTAACCCTCAAGGAGCCGCAAAATTCCAACAATATTAATGAACAATATTTTTTTTATTCTTAAAAATGCTATAACTTTTTCATTTTAATTCTGATTGAGATGATTTTTTTTATGCGTTGTCAACGAAAAGAAGAATAAAATCTCACTCATATACCCTATTAAAATTTTTCATCACCATTGAGTTTTTATTAAAATACTATCTTAATACAAATTTAAGTTTTGATTCACTCAAACACAAACTCAAAAAGATTCTTATCTTAAACCATAACTCAAATGTACATAACCAAACACAAACTTAAGTTACAACTTTAACTCAAATTATAACGCAAACTCAACTCAAAATCTTCACTTAAGAATGCCTAACTCAAAAATGCAAAAGAACAACCCCAACATTTTTGTGTTATTTAAAAATGTTTCAAACCGAGTACTCGACCCCTTAACTTTTAGAGCAAATAATAACACTAAAACACATTTCAAAATCTCATGTAGTCTCGGAACAACGGAGGCGATAGATTGGCTTTAGAAGCAAGTGGTTGGCTCTCACGACTGACAGACCAAACTTCTCAATCATGTCAATCTCTGCAGGATTCATACCACTTGGAACCTCCCAACTGAAGCAATGCACCAACTGAGCAACAACAAAGTGAATTGTAGTCAGCCCCAGTTGCATTCCCGGACAACCTCTACGGCCAGACCCGAATGGGAGAAGCCGAAAGTCACGGCCTCGAAAATCTATGTCGTCGCTCTCGCCGAATCTTTCGGGGTAAAATTCTTCCACATTTTCCGACCACACATTTGGATCTCTCCCTATTGCCCACACGTTTACTATAACTCGAGATTTGTTGGGAATGTGATATCCTTTTATGGTTATTTCCTTCAAAGACTCGCGTGGGAGCAGTAATGGAATAACCGGATGAAGCCTAAAGCTCTCCTTCACCACCATGTCCAAATAATCCAACTTCTCCACATCCTTTTCCTCTACTGTTCTCTCCATCCCAATGACACTTTCTAGCTCTCGTTGAGCGTTTTTCATGACTCTAGGATTCTTTATAAGTTCAGATAATGTCCACTCAACTGATGCAGAGGAAGTATCGAGTGCAGCCGTCAGCAGGTCTACTAAGATGGCTTTTATATTTGTTCGATCGATGATGAAAACATTCTCACGATCTTGGGGATTCATTGGTTGGTTCATCAAGGAAAGCAAAACGTCAATGAAATCGTCATGATGTCCTTGTTTATAGCGACCAACTTCCTCGTGCTCCGCAATTATCTCCTCCAACACTTTGTCCATTTCCTTATTAACTTTCTTCAACTGTCTTGTATACCCCTGAAGGCAGAGTAACAATAAATATAAAGGTCCGGTTCATTTTATGTTTAATTTTAGATTTTTACAGTTAAAATAATTTTCAGAAAATGTTATATCCGAATTTAAATTAAAAATTTGAATTTGTGAAAAAAACAAAACCAAAGAGAATCAGGGGCGCCTCAAAGGCAAAGCCGCTAAAACCATTGCCTTGCGGCCCCAAATTAGCCAAGGCCTCGTCTTGTTGACTCTTTTTTATTTTTTGTAATTTCTTGTTTAGAAAAAACAAAATTACTGTGTATATTTTTAGTGTATCCAAGTGAATTTAAGAGAAAAAACTTAAGAACATAAAATTTTATTGAATCCTAAAGAGGAGCTCTTAATTAGTTTCTAACTAGTAATAAAAAAGATCCAATTAAAAGTCAGTTTAGTAGATGAAACATAAAAATTATAATTATAATAATCATATAAGAAAATATGTATTAATAAAATAAATTAACTACGATCGTACCTAAAACCCACAATGTAACATAAATTATTAAATGGATTAGTGAAATCATCTACTAAATTCAAGATATACATTAGCAACTCTTAAATTCAAAAATTTAATCATAATTTCGGCAAAAGAATCCTGAATGAAGGTTTGAGTATTTTGATATTTTCTATAACGTAACTAAGGATAAAGAAACTAAGAGCCGTTTGGTAACTAAATTTAAAACATGGTGGTTTGAATTTCTATAGTTTAAAATGAAAAGTTTGAAAAATATGGTTTAAAATATAATCCGAAATGATGTTGGATATCAATTGAGCTATGGTTTGAAAAGAGAATAAAATCTCAAATTGTAGTTTTAGATTTGTAATTAAAAGATTATTATTTTTTTTTGTTTTTGGTTTTTTTAAGAGAATGAGTTTGAATAAGTTTCGAGTTTGAGTAAAAAAGATTATACATTTTGGTTCAAAATGTTGAAAACAGGGGAGATGATTTCGGATTTGGGGCTACTTTTCAGTTCAAGTTGTCCAAACAATATTGGTTCAAAATGGATCTAAAAATTAGTTGCAAAACACCATTTCAAAAACAATTTTTGGTTTAAAAGACATGAATAAGTTACCAAACGGCACCTAAATGATATAAAGCCTTTCTCTTCTTATGATATAACTTTGCACACAAACAAGGGTTTATTAATCGAAATAAGCATATCAATGTGTTACATTATGCTGCACATTCTTGAATTTACTTATGGACAAATCGGTTTGAAAGCTCCAGAATTGCTTGGGAAACGTGGTAAAAATTTGAAACAATGTTATAAGGTATCAATAACACCACAAAATATTGTTTCAAATGTAAGGCATGAATCCTAAAAAAAAAAAAGAAAACCTTTCTATTCATTGTAATGTTTGATAGTACCAAGAGTGTCCAAAATAATTTTCAAAAGTCTCTGTAAAATGCTCTCAATAATTAGTCAGCAAAAGAATAACTTAGGATTTGTTCAGTTATATTTTTAAATTATAGTAATTTGAGTGTATATTTTGAGTTAAATTTGAATTATAATTTGAGTTGAAGTTGTAACTTGAGTTTGTGTTTGGATGTGCACATTTGAATTATGATTTGAATTGAGAATCTATTTGAATTTATATTTGAGTGGGTCAAAACTTGAAGTTGTATTTAGATAGGGCCCGTTTAGTTCGTTAATTTGAGTTTTTAATTCTAGTTGAGATGTACCAGGTGTACACTTTATGCTGTGTGTATAGCCCCTGTGTCTCTGAGTTGAGCAGGTATGGACGGCATAGAAAGAAGATGATATGCACTAGTGGGACCTCTGTTGAAGAGAAGGTTCAAACCTTGTATCGCTGGAGAAGTCTTGAGACTTCTTTTCTCCACCACATGAGCGGATCAAATGTCTCCAGAAGATGCCACAGAGTCGATCATTCAATACAAATTCTAAACTCGAATCGGTGAAATGAACGAGACCATAGTATTTTAATAAAAACTCAACGGTGATGAAAAATTTTAATAGGATATATGGTGGAGTTTTATTCGTCTCTTCATTATGAACACATAGAAAAAAAATCATCTCAATCGGAATTCAAACGAAAAAGTTATGATATTTTTAAAAATATAAAAAAATATTGTTCATTAAATTGAATTTGAGTTTAAGAACTTAAGTTGAAAAAAAAAATTAAACTCTAAACTCAAATTTAAACTCAAATTTTACAAACAATATGAATTTAAATAAAATTATAACTTGAATTTAAATTTTTTTAAAATTTTACTCTAAAAGAAAGAAGCTCTTAAACGCATTAAATTCTCACCGGAACTCAAAAAGTTGGTATAAAGCCTCATACACGCCTTCAATTCCTTCACCCACTTGATCCCACTTTCTTGTCCAACTTTTTTTTTTTTTTTTTGTAAGATAATATAAAATAACACTACCTAGCCTACTGCAATATTGTCACACACACACACACAAAATTTTACATTTGTCCACATATTATAACTAGAAAATATTTCTCGTATTTTTAAACTATTCAAAAATTATCCAGCTCTAAGTTTTTCAATAGCAGGAAAATATACCATTTAATTGGTCAAATTGTTGACAATGATATAAAATACCCTTACAATCAATTTTTAAATATGATCTTAGAAATTAATAATTAGGAAATTAAATTTAGAGAAAAAGTAAAAAATTTTAATAAAAAATATACTTTATTTAAAAATAAAAACTTAACCGGTCAAATCAATACAACTCCACATAGAATCTTACGCCGGACTAGTTCCACTCCACATTAATGATGTGTTTGGTTAGTGGATTCGTGTCATGATTTGTGAATCACAGTTCGTGATTCTTTACAGTATTTTTTTCATAAAAAAATACACGTAAATTAAAAATAGTTCTGAAACTAATGTTGTTGTACGCTCATCCGAACCCGAACAAAGTTTGTTCACTTTATCTTAATTTTATTTAAATTTAAAATTTGTTTTAAAAATTTTAAATAATTAAGGGCTAAAACAATACTTAAATAGTAAGTACTGAGGGAGTTTTTGGTATTTCTAAAATTTGGACCACTCAAAAGGTTATTTTTAACATTTTTTATAAATTTAGGGGTTAAATTTGGGTAGTTTAAAAACAAAAGGATTACACTCCATTAAAAAAAAAAGCTCAATATTCTAAATTTCAGGGCCTAAACAAAAGGCGTGAGCACACCAGCATAATTTTTTATTCGTCCATAATTCTAAATCATGATTTATGATATTTTATAGTATTTTCTCTCATAAAAAATACACGTAAAATGAGAATAATTCTGAATACATAAACTAAACGTGCGTTTAATATTTAAGTTAAGAAAAATTTTGAAAACAAACCTGAAGATCAAGTGGTGCTAGGTAAGGTACATAATCAGCCAAGTTGAAAGCTCCAGTCAAGCGCATAATCTCTTCAACTAGCCGTTTCAGATCATATCTTTCGTCCCCAACATTCCTCCCCAACACAATCCTACACGATATGTCCGCAACAAGCCTCCCCACTTTGCTACTAACATCAACCACCTCACCCGCCGCCGCCGCCGCCCTAAGCGATGCCACAAGCGACGCAACCTCTGCCGCCCTCAACGCCGCGAACGACGCGGTCTTCGACGAGGTCAGAAGCTGAAGAGTGCAAAACTTCCGGACGTTGCGCCAGTACGGACCGTACTCGTTGAACGCCATTCCCTTGGAACCGTAAGACAAGTAAGCGGATGCTTGGACTTTAGGTCGGCTGGCGAAAATGGCGTCGTGTGTTTGGAGAATGAGCTCGGCGGCTTGCGGCGAGGAGACGACGACCGTCGGGACGCGGCCGAGGCGCATGGACATGATCGGTCCGTACTTCTTGGCTAGGGCTTGGAGGCCTCGGTGGGGTAGTGGTGTGAGCATGTGGAGATTTCCGATGATTGGTAGGGGCCGGGGACCGGGTGGGAGTTTTCGGCCATTTCGGTTGTGGATTTGGACAAGAAAGGAGATGATGGATCCAAGGATGACTAGGAGAATGGCGAAGGTTGTAGGAGACATTATTGAGTACTTGGCAGGAAAAACATTTCTAAAATGGGTATATATAGAACTGCTTAGATATATGGTTGGAAATTCAGAAATATTTATCACGGGGGATACTGGTTGGTTCCCACTTGAAGTTGTTATAAAACAGAAAAAAAAAAATGTTTTCTTCATGATTTTTTACTTTTCCCAATTTTGATTAATCTTTTTAATTACTTTTTTTTTTCAGGAAGGGAGTCTTCTCTTAAATTTCAGGAAAAATTACGGTCTTATTCGCTTCGCAGATTTAAGTTTTTAATTTGAATTGATGTGTGATATTTTTTGAGAACTTTTAACTGTAACATAAAAAGTTAGATGTGATATTTTTTAAAAAATTTTAATTATAAAAACTTAAAATTAAAAACTCAAATTGGTAAAATAAACGAGACATATATAAGAAGGGTCTTTTTAGTTTTATGCCTTGCAGTCTGTGGAACAAATAATTACACACGCTGTATGTTAGATTATATCATATTTACACTTTCAAATTAAATTCTACTTGAACCTTTGTTGGGTCAATGATCAGGAGTTGTTTGGTTGGTGGATTCGTACCCCAATTTGAATCATGGTTCGTGGTTCGCTACAGCATTTTCTCTTACAAAAAATACACGTAAATAAAAAATAATTCTAATCTCATAATTTTAATTCATGAACTAAACGTCTCATAAAGATGTATATAAATGGGTATATAAATGCTTAGATGTATGGTTGAAAATTCAGAAATATTTATCACGGGGGGTACTGGTTGGTTCCCACTTGAAGTTGTTATAAAACAGAAAAAAAAAACAAAAAAACGTTTTCTTCATGATTTTTTACTTTTCCCAATTTTGGCACCACTTGAAGCTCCCAAGACACCCTAAGCTCCTAACTCGGTTTATTAAAATAACAATAAAAATTTAAAATTTATCAAATGATGTTGATTGCATTTTAATTTTGACCACCTTATACTACAATGACATAAACAAAAATTAGTGAATTGTGAGGTGAAATAACACACGAGATATAGACCACTCATAAAAAACTCTAACAACGATTTTTTTTTAACCAACGCAACGTATTTAACAATCCGTCGTCAATTAAACATATTAGACATCCCTTAGTGAGCATTTTAAAATAACATGATACATTATGTATTTAACAGCGGTTTGAACCGTCATTAAATGTTTTAGTTTTTCAGAAATTAAAAGGGTGGGTGTTTTCCCACCCGCTGTTCTATTTCTCAATTTTTTGACACTGATATTTCGATTGAGGTTCTTAGTTTTCTTGTAATTTTTGTATTTTTCTTCTATTTTGACCGTTCGATTCATAGTTTGTTTGGTTGGTTTTTCTTTACCCTAAGAATTTCTTGTATTTCTTCTAGTAATAAAGTTCCAACGGGAGCTTAGTGTAGGGTAAGTTTTTAATTAACGTGAGATAATTTAATTGGAATGAATTAAAATCCTATATGCTTTTTCATCTTTTTTTTTTCCTTCAATTTATCTAAAACAAAAGGATAGAAAATATTAAAGAGATAGAAGTTCTTTTTTCTCACTGAAATAAGAAGCTTAAAGTTTCAGAAGTTTTGTTTAGTATACCCGATATTTAGGCCTTATACTAGTTGAAGAACACATATTATGCACGTGAGGAGTAATCGTGTATTAAATTTTAATTACAGTGTTATTATTAAAAACATATAACATATGAATATAAAATTTCAAAAAGAAACCAAAATTTTAAAAAATAATAGTTTTATGGCAAGTAGCAAAAAAGATAAAAGATGACTAAAATGAAGAAATAAATTAAAAATGAGTAAAAAAAAGAACCAAAATGAAGAGATAAATAAGAAAATTAAAAAAAATGAGTAAAAAAACTAAAATGAAGAAATAAATAAGTTTTAAGATAAAATGAACTAAAACGAAAGAAAAATAAAATTTGAAGACAAAAAAAAAGTCTCAAAAAAAAATACTAAAATGAAGGAATAAATAAGTTTTAAGATACCATCGGAAAAAAATATCTAAGAAAATATAAAATTGTGGGGAAAAAAGTGCAAGGAAAAAGAGGAAAAGAAAATTGGAACAAAACCAAGGAGAGCGACAAAGAAAAAGTGCAAACGCGTGTACTGTTCACATGTTTTTGACCAAAACGTCATCGTTAAATAAAAGCCAAAAAAAAAAAGTTAAGAAAAGGGCAAGAATGAAAAGTATAAAATTCAGTGGAAGAAAAGTAAAAAAAAAAAAAAAGGAGATGGAAAGATAAAAAATTAATTGGGGTAAATGAAAGACCAAAAAAAAAAAAAGCTAAAAAGAAAAGGTAAGAACGATAAGTATAAAATTTTAGAGAAAAAATTAAAGAATAAAAAAAGAGATGAAAAAATAAAACCCCCATCAACCAAAACCCACGTTTCAACAAACCGGTGCGTTTTGGTTGATGGGGTTTTATTTTTACATCTCTTTTCTTATTCTTTAATTTTTTCTCTAAAATTGCGTTTTGGTTGAAGGAGAACAGTAGTTTTTAAGACTTGTACATATGTATAGATAAATAGAAAATGGTAGTAAAGTTGAAATATCAACTACTTTTTCGTTTTCACCTACTTTAAGCGACATAACGAGTGCTTATTCACTTTCTTTAATCAGATTACAAACTCAAAAAAAAAAAAAAAAGAAACAAATATTCTCTTTTTATCCTCCACACTCCTACTTTTCACTCATAAATTAGGATTCATTTGGTATGATGATTCAAATCATGGTGATTCTAATTATAATTATAGAATCAGAATCATGATTCATGATTTTAGGTTCAAATCATGATTCTGAAATCATGATTCATAATCAAAGGTTTGAATCACCTTAAATTAACAGGGGGGTGGTTTTAGAATCATAATTTGAGCTAGTTTAAGTAGACGTTTAGTTCATGGATTCAGAATCATTCTCATTTTACGTGTGTTTTTTTTTAGAGAAAAACACTGTAAAAAACTATGAATTATTATTCAGAATCGGAGACAAATACATGAAACAAACATTTCTAAACATCACATCAGATTCTTTTACATTTTCACCCTCAAATTAGTGTATATCTTACATAGTTTTGGCTAGGAGACGGTAGGTTGGCTTTGCAAGCAACTGATTTGCTCTCCCCATTGATAGACCAAACTTCTCACTCATGTCAACGTCCTTAGTTTCTACACCATTAGGAAGCTCCCAACTAAAGCAATGCACCAATTGAGCAAGAACGAGCCGAATATTAACAAGACCCAAATGCACCCCAGGGCACCCTCTACGGCCAGACCCGAATGGGAGAAGTCGAAAATCATGGCCTCGTAGATCTATATTTTTATCGACGAACCTTTCGGGGAGAAATTCTTCAACATTCTCCGACCACACATTTGGATCTCTTCCAATCGTCCAAGCATTCACTATGATTCTCGATTTCTTGGGAATGAAGTATCCTTCAATGGTAATGTCCTCCATGGACTCGCGTGGAACCAGCAAAGGCGCAACCGGATGCAGCCTAAAGCTCTCTTTCACCACCATGTCTAAGTAATCCAGCTTCTCCAAATCTTGTTCTTCCACCATTTTGTCCATCCCAACGACTCTTTCTAGCTCCCGTTGAAGATTGTTCATCACGCGAGGGTGCTTTAAGAGTTCGGAGAATGTCCATTCGATCAATGCCGCCGAGGTATCAAATGAAGCCGCCACCATGTCGAGCAAAATGGCTTTGATGTTTGTTCGGTCGATTATGTAGAGATGCTCAAGATCTTGGGGATTCATCGGTTGGTTCACTAATGAAAGCAAAACGTCGACAAAATCCTTTTGCCGATGCCCTTTCTCACTTGTGCCTCGTTCATGCTCCGTAATTATCTCCTCTAACACCCTGTCAATGGCCTCGCTATTTTTCTTCATACGCCTTGTATACCCCTAAACAAAAGAGTCGAAAATCATTGGTCACAAAAGAATAGAATTATGTGAGAGCAATATCGATTACTTCAACAACCAATAAGTGCAAAAAGCCTACGTTACAATGCCTATAATATGGATATATGCAAGTTACACAGAAATCTCTGTGCCGCCTTTTTTTTTTTTCCCATACATCAAAGGACATGATATTCCCCTAAAACATCACTAAACAAGCATCATCTAATCTCAAAGCTATAGTAGTGATTGGAATTGGGAATCAATTAATCACTTGTAGGGGTAAATAATTATTAATTTAGAATCCTAATAGGATTATTTAATTCAAATCCTAATAGGATAAATTTATTAGATAATTACTAGGATTAAGGGGATATCCTAATATGATAAATTTATTAGATAATTACTAGGATCGAGAGTATTTAATTAAGGGGATATGTTTAACAAGTGTATCCAATGTAGGTGCCAAGGTGGCAGAGAGAATTTTTCTAAGTCCTGGTCATACCCAAAATTTCTCCTAGTACATCTATAATTGGACAAATAGGTGCTTTGTGCTTTTTTAGATGACGTTTGGTTTATAGGTTTAAAATCATGATTCATAATTTTGATTTTTAAAATTTAAATTTTTTGTGAGAAAAAAACATTATAGCAGAACTAAAAATAATGATCTTAAACCAAGTAAAACCTTTGAAACAAACGTCACCTTAGTATTTGGGAATTCCAAAACTAATTGGAAGGAGCTTTCAACTGGTGACTGAGAATTCTACAATGTGTGCCCACACAGACCAATCCTTAGAAAGAGTGAATGACAATTAAGAAGATCTTTTGGCTTATACCTCAAGATTAATTTGAAAACGCTTTGATCTTCAGAATTAATTGTCCAAATAAATATGTTGATCCTACTCTAATTAATGTATATTAGTAACTTGAGTTGCAAGATTCTGAAGTTTCATAAAAAAAAAAAAGAAAAAAGAAAATTAAGCACATTATGTTGCGTTTAGGCAGTTTTTCCAATATTCAATTTTGGATTAATTACAAAACTTCTTCTAAAATTATAATCTTTGTAACACTTTGCTCTTCAATCTTTAAAACGTAACATCTCTTTAAAACGTAACATCCATTCTCCCTAAACTATATAATGTTAACAAAAAAAAACCCCTCTGTAAAATTTTTGACGAAAATTGACGTTTAATTATTTATTTTAGGGGTATTCTGACAACTTTATGGTTTGAAATTTAATTGAATTTAAAATAAATTTAAATTTAGACTTTTTATTATGAAACATCCATCATTAATTGTGTCATTAAAAGCCAAGAAGATTTTTTTTCTTAAATTATATTGTATGTAAATTAAACTAAAAAAGTTAGGGTGCATGCTTAAAATAGTAATTATACTCTAAATTATTTAACAATGATTGTTCTTTATGTCACACGTGTTAGAAACTATTAAATTTCTTAACGAATGAGACGTTTTTGTTATAATTTCATTGTTCAGAAAGAACATATATTACGTTTTAAGGATTAAAGAGTAAAATGTTACATGAGATATAATTTAAAAAGAATTGTAATTAATCCTTCAATTTTTTAAACTCAGGGTAAAGTGTCACGTTTTGTTTTTTTGTTTTTGTTTTTTTTTTTTTTGAATTTGGTGGCGCTCTTATCTTTTCTTCAATTGTTTTTTTGTTTTGGGTTCCCAAACTCTTCAAACTATGACAATTGGGTTCCAGTTTAGTTCATGAGTTTAAATTAAATTTGATTTTTAAAATTTAATTTTTTGAAAGAAAATATTGTAATAGAATCAAAATTATGAGTTTATATTTATAAAATGAACAACCTCTCAATTTTCAAAATCACTGATTCTTGACGTTCACCGGTCTTTATCTTTATGAATGCCAGGAATAGGCTCCGATATGACTGGATTTTTAGATTAGGAACCCAAGGCCGTGTTTAGAATTGATCCCATTTTTATTTTTCATGTTTTTTGAGAAAAAAATGAAAACGTTTCTAAAACAGCGTTTGGCGCAATAGAAACAAAAAACGAAAATGAAAATGATTTTTTAGTTTAGTGTAAAATAATAGAGAAATAAAAAATAAATTTTAGTTATTTTTCATTTTTTATTTTCGTTTTCTCCTCTCTCGAGCAGAGAGAGAGAGAAAAAGAGACATTAATGGGTTTTTTACACTGAAAATAATCTCTTGATAAAACTACCATATAAATTTTTAAAAATAATTTATGTCTAAGATTGAAAACGTATTTATTTTTATTTTCATATAAAAAATAAAATTATTTTAGAATAAGTTTCAAACGCGCCTCAAGTATTGCATGTTACATGTGGTGCAACTGTGTTCATTTTCAATCATTAGAAACTTAAGAGAAAGGGCAGGTAGAGAGAATAGTTGAGGACAAATCGGTTCTATTCATGAGAGTCACTGTTCGCCTCAAATCAATTGAAAATATTTCCTTTAATTGTTCTGTAAAACCTTTTGGGTTGCGTTGGGTTGATAGTTAATTAATTGAAAAAAAAAAAAACCATAAAAACATAAGCAAGCTACTATGTTCTAGAGGACGAACATTGAAGACCAGAGCTGGTAAAACATACAAATGTTGAAAAATCTGTAGGATCCATTGCAGTAGAGGGTGGAGAGTTGGTTGGTTTTAGGATCCATCGTTTTATTTTTATTTTTTTATTTTTTGAAATACGTAAAAATCGTTTTTAAAAAACGGTACTAAACGCGTATAGAAGAGCACACAGAAACCGTGAACAGTAAATAATGGCGAAAACTCACCTGAAGATCAAGTGGCGCAAGATAAGGCACATAATCAGACAGATTGAAAGCTCCCGACAAGAACATAGCCTCATGAACAAGCTCCTTTAAGTGATTCCTGTCCTCCAAACTTATCCCCAATATCATCCTACATGACATGTCCGCAATAAGCTCACCAATCTTCCTACTAATGTCCACCACCTCACGCGCCGCCGCCGACGCCCTAAGCGACTCGACCACCGACGCAACATCCTCCCTCCGCAACGCCGCGAACGACTCGATCTTCAACGCGCTCAGGAGCTGCAGAGTGCACAGCTTCCTCACGTTACGCCAGTAGGGGCCGTACTCGGTGAAGGCCATGCCCTTGGTGCCGTAAGACATGTACTCGGAGGATTGGACTCTGGGACGGCTGGCGAAAGTGGTGTCGAAAGTTTTGAGGAAGAGCTCCGCGGCTTCGGGTGAGGAAACGACGACGGCCGGGACTTGGCCGAGCCGTAGGGACATGATTGGCCCGTACTTTTTGGATAGGCTTTGGAGGCCGCGGTGTGGGAGGGTGGTTAGTTGGTGGAGGTTTCCGATGACTGGGAGGGGCGTGGGGCCCGGTGGAAGCTTGCGGCGGCCATTGTTTCTGCGGATTTTGGCGGCGGCGCGTGAGAAAATAATGGATAATAGGGGAGCGAGAATTACCAGGAGAATGGATAACATGTTCATCTAGAGACGTGTAAATGATAGACAAGTTGTTGGGGGCAGAGATATAGGGCCCGTTCTGAATTATTAACTCAAATTCCGTCCAATCTGAATAGTCCATCTAGAAACAATGAGAGCTTTTTTTCCAATCTGAATAGTCCATCTAGAAACAATGAGAGCTTTTTTTCTAGATGGACAATGAGAAGAGACAAGTTGTTGGGCCGTTCTGAATTTTAAATTCAAATTGGTGCCGTCCAAAATAGTCCATCTAGGAACAATGAGAGCTTTTTTTCCAATCTGAATAGTCCATCAGCAAACTTTACACGTTTTTTATTCACATATTTAAATTTAAAATTTAAATTCACATTTAATTTTTTTTATTATAATAAAAAAGTTTCAAATAAAATTATATCTCAATTTAAATTAAACTTAAATCAGTAAACGAAACGACCCTTATTTTACTACTCATTTTTCTCCGCATGATTGGGCGCAATTGGCTTTCATACGGAACTTTTTTCAACTAAATTTTTTTAAACAACATAAAAAGAAAACCAATTCTCTCTTAGACCATCTTCAATATAAATATTAATGTCAATTGTATATTTAACGTAAAAAAGTATTATATAAAATGTTATTTTCATTTTTACAATAATGTATAATGTTATTTTCATTCTCTCTTATAATCATTTAGCTTTAAAAGTTATAAAAATAAATTTTTATTTTTAAAATAATTAAAAAATACAAAAGTTACAATAATTACATGAAAAAATAAACATTTTAATCAAAAGCAATCAAATGCCAAATTTTCATTATGTTATACTTTATAGCTTTGTAGAAAATTTACCACAAAATATAACACATAAAAAATTTGACATGATAAATAATATTATATTAAAAAGTGTTTTTTACACTCAAATATTAAATTTGTAATTAGTACATTAATTATAATATTACATGATAGTCTTATTTATATAAAAAAGAGATGGGGAGGTACACAGGTATGCCCAATATCAATAAGTGAGTAAAAGATATTTCAGCTATATGTATACGCTTTTTTATTACATTTCTTTTTCCCCTTGAATTTTTTTCATTACGTCTCTTGTTCCTATATATTTTACTTTCTCAAGTAAGAATAACTCCATTTTAGCATGTAGAGTAATTCAAGGAAGAATACTTGTTTTTCCTTTTGTTTTTGTGTGTGTGTCTGAATCAAGGAAATTAATCTCATAGGTGGAGTAAGAATTTTGGAAGCTTGATATTAACATCTAATCACGTGGGCGGCCAGCTCGAGATTATTAATTATTTAGGTCTATTCATTTTATCGATTTAAATTTTTAATAATATATTTTTATAGTTAAATTTTTTTTTAAAAATATCACATCTAATTTTTTTATTACAGTTAAAAATTTTTAAAAAATATCACATCTCAATTTAAATTAAAAATTTGAATCCGTAAAATGAATTAAAATGGACGAAACCTTAAAAATATATGACGGCCATTGTTAGAGTCAAGTCTGTATGTGTTCCAACTCATATTGATTTTGACTTTTGATGGAAATGTATTCTTACTTTTGTTGGCGTCTTATTTATATAAAAATTAATTTATTTTTACTAATCTTATTGATAATTTCAACGAAGATAACCTTGATTTTTATGATTAATTCTGATATGTTTATCTCTTGTAGAAATTCAGATTTCAAAATTATATTCTTATCCTTGTTTTAAATTAACCTTGTTTGGGAAGTTTTGGAGTTCATTTTTGAACTTGAATAGGATTCCGATTTGATGCAGTTAATCATGTGCTGATCATTCAATCCAGGTTAATATTTGCGATTAATTCCATTTTATTTTGTGGGTTTTTAATGGTTTTATTAGGATCCGTTTGGCAAGTATATTTAAACTTATAATTTTAATTTCGTTACAGTATTTTTCACATATAAAGAATTTGAATCTAAAAATTTCTCATTAATAATTATCTCACAAAATTTCTGCAAATAAATCAGAATCATCCCTTAATATTTTTCAAATTTGACTCTATGTGATTAACGAAATAAAGTAACTGTTAGACAACTCATTTTAGACTACGGTTTCCTACAAAATTGTGGTCTATATTCTAATTAAAAACGTGGCATGGAAAATTGATTAAAAAAACTGAGAGACAAATTTATAATTTCAATCGCTACATCAATATTTTAAATTAACAAAAAAGAAAAAAGAGAATAAATTAGATCAGATGCATTTTCTTAAACAACACAAACACAGTTGTCCATGTGAAGGCAACCAAACTTATCAAAACTCTCAAACACATTAAAAACGACCTCTGCTCAACGAATCCGATTTGGAGGCGAAGAAATTATTGCTGAAATCCAAACGACAAGGTGGCGAAGAAGTTTCGTTGAAATCTTTCGCTGCGAAGCAACCCCATTGCGACTGCGAGCCCTGCATCACAGAGGACCCCTTAGTTGCTGCCTTCCCCAACACGAACCTGATGTCTGTCACTGTAAAGCAATGCTACCCACCCACCCATCACAATGTCATATTTCTCTCTCTCTCTCTCTCTCTCTCTCTCTCGATCGAGCCAACATTTTTTTCCTCGTTGTTTCAAGGATTTTTAGTTCGTGTTTAGAATTTATGATGTTTTTATTTTTCATATTTTTTGAGAAAAAAATAAAAACGTTTTTAAAATGACGTTTGACGTAATAAAAATAAAAAATAAAAATAAAAATGATTTTTTTAGTTTAGTATAAAATGAGAGAGAAATAAAAAACGACTTTTGTCGTTTTTTATTTTTTGTTTTCGTTTTCTCTTCTCTTGAACAGAGAAAAATAGATAGAGATATTAATGAGTTTTTTATACTGAAAATAATATATTGATAAAATTACTAAATATATTTTTAAAAATGATTTCTGTCTGAGATTGAAAACGTTTTCATTTTTATTTTCATACAAAAAATAAGATTATTTTAAAACAAATTCCAAACGCGTTCTTAATCTCATTTCATATGAAAATATAAATAGTTATTTTGTCAAAATAGCCTCACATATTAGATCACATGTTTCATGCTAGATGAATCTGTTGAAAACTTGATGGAATTCGACGAATAAGTTTTTAATTGGTGCATGAATATGTTGAAAACTTGATGAAATTTGATGAATAAGTTTTTAATAATGAAAGAGTTTAGAAGTTGTTTCATGAAAATTAAAAGAATGCAAACTAAATTGTCACCTATTAAATAATTACTTTTAAATTAAATTAAATTAGAGGGACCAGAAAAAATTAGAGCGGTAGGTATCGGACCACAATAGGACTCCATGGAGACCAGGTTAAAGTAGTAACAGATCTCTCATTTTCTCTTTTGACATAACTAATTTTTAATGGGCGGAGACTTAAAATAACAGTTATACAAATTAAGACAAAAGAAGGAGAAAAGGTCTGAAGCAAAGACGGAGAAAAAAGATTTTAATTTATTTTGTTGCGTTTTAAAAAAGTTCAATTTCTTTTGTTTAGTGCATTTTTATTTAATTTTATAATTTATACAAATTATTTACATATTTTTATATGCGTAGCATCGGATATTCAACGCAAAAATGGTGCTAAAAATCATGCTACAAATCACTTAAAATAAATAATAATAATAATAATAATTGGTCTGACTTAAAAAGCTCGCGGTGCGACATATGTAGTGAAACTTTTTAATTATGAAATTTTTTTTAGGTTTGTGGTGACAGCGGAGAGATAGATTGTTTAACTAATTTTTCTTATTTAATTTAATTTAATTTATTTTTATTTAATAAGGTCACGTTCATTTCACTGATTTGAGTTTAGAATTTGAGTTTTGCTACAGTAAAAAGCTCTCAGAAACATTCACATTTAACTTTTTTGCTACAATAAAAAGCTCTCACATAAAGTCACATCTCAACTCGAATTAAAAACTCGAATCAGCGAACTAAACGAATCCTAAAATATTATTTTATTTTATTTTAGAGTATTTTTTGTCAATTTTTTCTAATTATTTATAACATTTTTATCTCATGCACTAAAAATTTAGTGCAAAATAGTGTTAAAATGAACAAAATGGGTCTAAAAAAATCATTAGAAAACAAAAAATAATAATTAAAATAATAAAAACGGATTTTTGCTGGCCGTTGATAAAAAAGATCAAAGGCTCTGATTGGCGCGTGTTCCGATGGGAGTCGCGTGTAGCAGGTGGGGCGCAGATGTACTACGTCAGCGGCAGCAGGTGGGCCTCGAGCCTTTTCCCTTCTACCAATTAGGCCTCGACACGTGGCCACTATGTCGGCCACTTATGGGGCTACGGGGGATCAGGTCGTCCGGGCTTACATGAGCTCATTTCTTCCAGCTAGTAGTGCTTTGACACGTGGCATCTTTTTTGATCCAACGTTTTTTTCTCAACTCATGCGGAGACCACCATTTTGACAGCCTGTTTTTCGACACGCGGTCGCTTTGCTGATTCGCCTGCACCGGATTATTTCCTCGTCTCCGGAAAAAAAAAAAAATTGCATGGCTAATTCTCGGGGGAGAAACGGACGAAACGTTTCGTCTGCCCCCCCTAAAAAACGCACTCTCCTTTTATAGGATGAAATAGATTTTGATCGAACGGTTCTATCTCAACTCGTACGGAGCCACAATTTGGACCAACCAATAATCTTTCAACATGTGGCGGCTTTATTATATTCGCCACACCGGATTATTTCCTCCTCTCCGCAAAAAAAAAAAAAAAAAAAAAAAAAATTGCATGGCTAATCATAAGAGGAGAAACGGACGAAAATGTGTCGTCCGCCGCTGGGGCCTGGACCCAAAAAAAAAAAAAAACCGCATTCTCCTTTTATACGATCTCAAACTCGTAAAACGACGTACAAAATACTTCTCTTCCCACTTCAAAAAATAAATAAAGAAAAGAAAAAACGAAGCACCTGAAAATCTACAGAACTGGCAAGTCCCAAATCGGAATCGCAATTCACAAGCATTGATTATTTGCCTCAAACCACAGAGAAGCGCCAGATCTCACGCACACCTACCTGAAAATCATCCAATTCTCTCTCTCTATATCTCTCTAGGTTGAAAGAGAGAGAGAGAGAGAGAGGACAATTTGATCCCACATTCTTCGATGGCTCCGATCTTTGAGTACTTCGTTGTCTGCGGGATCGGACCGGAAATCCGAACCCTAGATGGTAACAAGGGCTTCCATGGAACCGGAATCATGTACTTGCCGTCTCTGCTGGACCAGTACCCTCCTCTCAATCACTCTCTCTACCCTCCGCCTCCTCCTCAGCTTCCCACTGTAAGCTTTCATGTCCAAATTCTCTTCTTCGTTTTTCCTTTTCTTTTCTTTTTTCTTTTGGTTTCTGAATTCGAAATTTTCTTCTCTATGTTGAGTATTTCGAGCTTTTACGAGTTAATTTGCCAATGAAGTGCCAAAAATGTGAGATTTTCGTTTCTTAATTTGGGTTTGGCATGATTTCAGTGCGTTTTACCAGCTGGAGTGGAGTTCTATCCGTTGGGTTTCGATTCGAGTGATGCCTTGACGTTTCCGAGGAGCTATCCGATTGTGTTGACTGGTATGAGTTGAATTATTGTTCCAATTTATGAGGATTTAGTAAATCTGTGTGAACAGAATCTATATCGTGTTTTTTATTTGCTTATGAAGCACAATGATGTGACACATTTGTAATTCCTGGCCTCTCTCTTTGAGCTAATCATTGGCTGTTTCTTGCAATATGGTAGCGCAGCTTTTCTTGTAATTCCACAGCTTTGCAAATAGATTAAAGCTTATGTTGGAGATTGTGATGGATTCACCAATTATATATTTTATAATTTTTTAATTACTCTGTTTTAAAATGGTATTTTCGAAAAAAAAAAGGTATCAACCATTTAAGGATCGTGTGAGTTATAAGGAGGCAATATCACGTGTTTTTATCACCTTTTGATGTGGGTTTGTGGTCGAAGTTTGAATAACTTTGGTTTTGATCATGTCACCGACGTCTGTTTTTGTACGTTATTTGCTTGTCAATATGTTTTTACGAGGTCCTGAGGAAGTTACATGACATGTAAGCACGCTTTTATTTATTTATTTATTATCTTTTTCAAATAAAAAAATGCTCCTTTTATTGATAAATTATCAAAAAAAAAAAAAAAGGAGAAGAGGATACAAAAATCACAGGGAATGATATGTCCCCGGGGCAGGAAAAAATAAAGAAAAAAAGCAAAATCATAAAACGAACTAGAATAAACAGCCCCTTAAAACAAATAGATTGATAAGAATTGCTCAAAAAGAGTAGTGCTTTATTTGACCAAAGACTTGTTGCTTAGATGGATTCAAGGTACAAAATTCAGGCGATACATTCGTGTTGACTAGGTAAAATGCTGTACATTTATTATCCACGAATATACTTTTTGTTTTGCCTCCGTACTTAAAGTTAATTTGGGAAAAAGTGTAATTTTGGGCATTAATATGGAGGTGAAGAGTGTGGTAAGTTTGGCTGCCATTGGAGGTTGTTTGGTGGGGGAGTGGCTGATTAAATATCTTGGCCTACCTTTAGGTGGGAATCTGATTAGATCATCTTTTTGGGAACCGGTTATTTCAAAGGTGACCAAGAGGCTTGATGGATCGAAGAGATTGTTTCTTTCTTGTGGAGGGAGATTGACATTAATAAGATCGGTATTGTCATCTCTACCTACCTATTTTCTGTCGATCTTCAAAATCTCTAGAGGAGTTGCAGCTAAGATTGAAAAATTGATGAGGGATTATTATAATTATTATTTTTTATTTTTTTATTCTTTTTAGGAGGGGGGGCTTGTGAGGAAACAAAGTCAGATCACCTTGTAGCATGGGCTGAAATTTGCAAACCTAAGGAGAAGGGTGGCTTGGAGATTGGTAACTTGGTTCTCCGCAATAAAGCCCTTTTGTCAAAATGGCTTTGGAGATTTCCAAAGGAAAGGAATTTGTTGTGGTGCAGAGTGATTAGAAGCAAGTTTGGGTCGACTTTTGGAGAATGGGAATCAGGCTTTTGTGATAGAGCAACATTCAGGAGTCCTTGGAAAGCTATTCAAAATTTGCAGCAGGAGTTTAAAGCAAACATTAAGGTTATGTTGGGGGATGGAAGGAGGTTAAGGTTTTGGGAAGATGTGTGGTTGGTTGAGGAGTCATTCTCTGATCGATTTCCTAGTCTTTATAGGTATTCATCCCTTCATAATTCAGCTATCCCCTCATTTTACACTCTCGGAGAGGGTAGTATTGAGTCCTGGAATCTTCATTTTAGTAGGGAGCCTAGTGATAGAGAATTGGGTGAAATCATGGAGCTTTTGGGTTGTCTAGAGGGCGTAAGATTGACTGAGGTTATTTGTGATAGGTGGGTGTGGAATCTGGAGAGGTCGGGGTTATTTTCTTGAAAATCCTTCTTTAAATCTCTCATTGGTGATCAATCCTTTCCCTCCTTTAGCCTGTGCCCTTTTATTTGGAGCGCCTTGGTTCCTACTAAAGTACAAATTTTTAATTGGCTGCTTGTGTCAAATAAACTTAACACTCATGAGTTGCTGCAAAGGAGAAAGTCGTATCTATATCTATCTCCTAGCTGGTGTGTTTTCTGCAGGAACGCTAATGAGACAGGGGACCATCTTTTCCTTCACTGTCCGTTTTCGATGGGTATATGGCATCGTGTTCTGGAAAAGTTTGGGATTGTTGGGTAGTTTAACAGAATCTCAGAGTTATTTGGCAGTGACTTTCTATCTGGAAGTACAAACAATGTTAAGAGATTGTGGAATGTTGTTGCCCTTACTGTTAGATGGGCTTTGTGGTTAGAAAGAAATGATCGCCTCTTTGAGGACATTCAAGGAAACTTTACTGAAGTTTGGGATAGAATCAATTACTGGGTTGGGTTGTGGTTGTCTCAGTCGAAAATTTTAGTGGCATTTCATTATCAGATTTGATTAGGGCTGGGATATTATTTTGAGCTGATTTGAGTTTTTGTTGGATTCTTTTTTTTCTCTTGGTTGTTGGTGGACATCTTGTTCCCTGTTTTGTTCACTTCTCTTCATTTTATTATTCAATACAATTCTTGTTTCTTATAAAAAAAAATAAAATGCTGTACATTTATGTAACGAGGGGCACAAACAAAGAAGGCTTTAATTAGAAAGTAGGCTAAGGGTTCAAAACATCAAAGTTTCTTTTGCAGGTCTGCGTGAAAGCCTTATTTCTTCGTTCCTTTCTTTCTTATATTTTTAATTGATCCAATGATCTGAGCAAGTATTGAATTATGTGCATTATGTATATGGCCTCACCAGTTAATCTTCGTCCTTGAATAATTCGATAACGATGATTTGTTCCAGAGGGTGATGGGTCAAAAATATATGTTAGTTGCATTGCTTTCCGGGATCCAGTCAGTGAAGATATCGCTGAGGCTTACCATATACCTGCAAATTCATTTGCTGACAAATGTATCTGTCTGGTTTCACGCTCCCCAAGTTTCCGTGTGCTTAGAAATGCCCTAGAGGAACTATTTGCACTTTGCTTTTCCGAAAGTGGAAGTAGGTAACTATTCTCTCGTGATGAATCTTGATTTGACATTTAAATGCTATTTTGAATATTCTCATTCAAAATTCAGACTTCTCATGTGGTTCATGAAGCTGGCAGATTTATTTCACAATATTTAGATCCTCAGTCTTTTGCCTTCTCTCTGCATCTAATGTGGTCAGCTTTGTGACATTTTCAGCAAACCATTATGGGATATTATAGCATATCTGGTATCCAATGTACCTCTGCCCACGCCCGGAAAGGATCGGGTTTTGTTTGCCATAGATAATTGTCTACTATCTGTGGAGGCTCCACCAAAGGATGGGCTAGCCCACGCTGATGTATGATACTAAATCTTTTTGACTCTGAGCTTTGTGTTTTTTTTAATGGTTTATCTTGATATTTCTTGTTCTCTAGAATGTATCTTATGTGTTTGACTTTTGTATTATATGATGGATGCAGATATCATTTCAGCCATTGGTACAGTGTTTAGATGTGGACAACTTAATTATACTCTTTACAGCTGTGTTGCTTGAACGGAGAATTTTGCTCCGATCAAATAAGTATGCCTCTGATTTAAGACTACCAAACATCTTTTTTCTAGTATTTCAAATAGCTCACTGGTGACATTTGGAATTTGGAAGCACAGTTTTTATGTAAAACAGCTAGTTCATATGCAACTTTTTCTCACGTATATAGTCTTCAAATTTACTCTTTCTTATCTATGATATTCACCTTTCTTTTGTATACTTATTTATTTTTTTTCTCTGTGTTCTTTGTGGAGAAAATAAGGCCTAGTACAGTTCTATCTAATTGACCATGAATTTTTCTTTTGCTTTACATTTTCTTATTTTCTCCGTGTTTACGATAATAATTGGATCTATTGATCATTTTATGATCACTTGTTCTCTCTGTTCTCTTTTGAGCAGATACTCAATTTTGACCCTTGTATCAGAGGCCATATGCCATTTAATTTATCCATTTCGTTGGCAGGTAAGACTGACTTGTTGAACTTTTTTTTTTTTTTTTTAAATACTTTTTTACTTGATGAAGTTATCTCTCTGATATATCCCAAACGGTTTTTTTTTTTTTTTTTTAATATGCGGGCATCATATCATGTTTTGGTCATTCTGTTATTGCTCTTGTTTCAGAAATGTATACATGATAGATGATACTGATTTGATGCTTATTATGTTTCATAATCTCCGCTCTAATCATTCCTATTTTTGTTTGTGCTGAAGCATGTCTACATTCCATTACTCTTTTTTAGTGGAGTTGACTATATTGATGCTCCAACACCATACATGATGGGCCTTCATTCAGGTGTCGATACATCTAATTTGGCGATGGATGGTGTAAGTTCTAAGTAGTTGTTCATAAACTTTACTCGTATTTCCGTGCTTATTATTTTCCATACAGCATATATCTCGTTGTTTTATGCATTTCATAGTCCTCCTTTTTGTTGTCTTCTTTTTCATTAGCTTCTAGAATATGTCATGGTAACAGATGAGTGCTTCTTATTTTTATTTGAATAGTAATGGTAATTACCTTGTTGTGTGCTTCTTTTTTTTTCCTTCTTTTTTTCTTTTCTTTTCTTTTCTTTTCTTTTTACTTGTATGGTTTCCTTCTCAATGAATATATTTTGACTTTTCTATAAACGGTTGTGAAAGCTTTCAATCTTTGTGAAGATTGCATGAGACAGATTACATCTAAAGCAAATATTCTGTACTAACAGTCAAGTATATTTTTGTTCTAAGACGTTCTCTGAACCATTGAATAGTGGAACTCATGAAGACTACAGTCCTCTTTTGGATGATTGAATTTTCTTTAATTCTTTCTTTTTTTAAAAAAAATTTTTTGATTCAAAAAAATCCGAGAATGAAGAATTTTCTTTCTGGTAGTGTTAAGGCAATGAAGTACGAGAAGGGTTTTTTTTTTTTTGAATGGTACAAGAAGGTTTCTACAATAGATCAGTTACTACGTTGTTTAGTAAGGAAGAAAGTTTTTTCTTTTTCTATCTTCATATTTTGTTTCTTCACCAGGAATCATGTTATGAAAGAGGCACTATCACATCTTGTACTATAATTTTTTGTTTGATTTTTTTTTTTTATGTGAGAAACAAATGGGCCCGTTTAGTTCATTGATTCGAGTTTTTAATTTAAGTTGAGATGTGACTTTATGTGAGAGCTTTTTACTGTAGCAAAAAAGTTAGATGTGACTGTTTCTGAGAGCTTTTTACTGTAGCAAACTCGAATCGGTGAAATGAACGGGGCTTAAATTCACATATGAAAAGCTCAAAGAAGCTAAAGATCAATTATGTTGGTAAATAGCTGAGGCAAAACCTCCATATGATATTCACAACCTTTCTTTTTTCTCCCTTTAAATTGTTTGACTTGGATTTTCCTAAATATTGCCTTTTACTGAGATAAAATAGTTGTTTGTCTCCCTGCCTTCCCCCTTTCTTTTTCTCTTTAGGTAGTTGTTGTTGATCTTGAGTACAATCGCATTACCACATCAGAAGAAATTCCGCCAATTCCGGAGCCAGAACTAAGCTCCTTGCGTGGTGAGATAATGAAGCTGTTATATCCCAATGTTATTGGAATAGATCACATGAAGGCTGGTCCATATAGTGTCCCAGAGCAATATCCTAAAGGTCACAACAAACCTTGGGGAGAGGATCATGATCTTCAACTTAGGTGATAATTGACTCCACATAAAACGTTGATTAAGTACTCATTGCTTTTTCTATGTTAGTAATGTAGCTGCACTTAAATTGACATTCTATCCTATTGTCTTTATGATCGAAGTCTTTGTTCTTTTCTAGCAAGTATCCCATTAATCAAATAGATGAGGGAACTGTATGTTCACGTATTAACCAACAACTTTGTTTAGTGGGCTACTGGGTTATCTGGTGTGTTACATTGTTATGCTTACACTTAGTTGATTTGAGCACTTCCCAATCCCATATTGGCTCTAATATGGCCTCACGTGGCTGCTCTACTATCTCAGCTTTTGCGATAAGAGATAAAATCATTTATTCTGGAATAATTTTGCTGTTAGCATGTAAACTAACCGTGTTTATGAAGTTTTGTGTGTCCTATTTTCATATTTTTTTCAGGTTGGTATTTCTGAAGTTCTTTGCATCACTTTTAAGTGGCTATCGCAATTTTATAGTATGTAAAAGTTTATATCGTCTCTTCTGCTATAGATTTGGTTTCTAATTATATTATATTTCTGTTTCCTTTGATTTTTATTTGGAAAAATCATTTTTTTCAGGAAATTTCTGCAAATCATGTCTTCAACACTCAAGCTTTTTTGAAAAAGCGTTCTCGGTCAACTAACCAACCACCAGAGCCCATGGTATTTGTTTTCTGATCCTTTTTCATGTAGCTATTTTTCTCTGTGGTGGATCACAACACATAAGTACTGAAATCTTTTTATTTCTTTATGTGATAAAAATCTAGTGCCTTCATGTTGTCTTAATTTCTTCTTGCTATTACAGATGGTGCAGTTTCTCGACTCCCACGGTTTCATGGACTATTTGGAGAGGGGCATGAGTTCTGATGAAAACAATAATAATCTCCTTGACAAGTTACAAGATGCAATTGGAAGGGGTCAAAATCCAATTTCAATTTTTCCCTCAAATACAGCGGAACCAGAGATTATAACAATCTCGGATCCTGATGGTAAAATATCAGGTAAATTGGATTTAACTATTGACTTAAATCTTCCAGTTAGTAAATTATAATTGTTATTCTCATTATTTAAAAAAAAAACTTCCTTTTGTTGATAATGAAGTCAATTTCAATGGAAAGAGGTGAGAAGTCCTCTAATCGAAAGAAAATGGAAAACTGCAAAAAGAACAGAAAACTAAAAGCACAACAAACCAAAGACCCACAAAACATTAAAATAATTAACGTCCCCATGACATCATTCCAATTTCCCTTTCTTCAAAAATCACTGGCATTTTTCTTTGTACTTAATCAGTCGAGGCCCATAGAGGAGTATTTAACCTTTTCAAACCCTCTCATCTCCATCTCCCTTTCTTCAAAATCACTGGCACTTTTATTTTTTGTTTTTGTTTTTTCCAACCATGTGGTTCGAAGAATTGAAGTCACTATACTTTCGCACATAGCTCTAGTGATTTAGAGGGAAAGAAGGATTTAGAAGAAAAATCCGATGAGTCACAAGATCACAACCTTTTATCCATAACGGATGAGCTGAAAGAAAAGGTCTGCATCATTCAAATTCCTTCTGAAGCCAAAATTCCAATTACACTGATTTTGGAGGAAAAAAGAACAAAATTCCAACAATCAAAGCAAATTGGACATGACATGAGATAATCAAAATAATCTACCCAACACATCTGCCACAATGGTATGTTGAAAAGAAGTCTAGGGTCTCCTTGTCTTAGACCCCTTGTAGCTTCAAACCTTCCTCTAGGTTTTCCATTGATCAAAATGGAAATGTTGGCTGTTTTTTCCGTTTCTTTTTTTTCCCCCACAATATTATCCAAGAAAATCCACCAAGCACTAACCTGATTTCAAACACAATAACACTACCTCTCTTAACAAAAGCACCGTGATGATGAGATCGTGTCAAATAACACCTCTTTCAACCTATTTGCCATGACTTTTGCAAAGATCTTATAAAATGGTTGGTTACCAAACTAATAGGTTTAAACTCTTTCACACTCCTAGACTAAACTTTTTTAGGAATGAGATAGAGAAATGTATGGTTTGTGTTATAGTTCACCATTCCCTAAAAAATTCCTCAAACACCCTGAATAAATGCCCCTACAGTCTCCCCACAATTTTGAAAAAAAGCTCATGTAAAACCATCCGCATTTGTGGTTTTTTCTCTATTGCAACCGAAAACAACACTTTTTACTTCTTATTTAAACGACCTCTCTAACTATGATGGGTTCTCCACTGAAATGGCACTTCACTCGATTCCTTAAATTGACCATACAAGTTCACTATCCTTGTGTATTTTTTCAAGGAATGAAATAATTGCCCTTTTAGATAATCCCCGTGACTGCTCCTTCCTAACAAGAGTGAAAAAGAAAGGAAAGAAGAAAACGCGAGGGACTAACCAATGGGCAGGAACTCCCAAGATTGGAGATTCATAGGGAAGGATTACACACCATAACCATATCATGAAAAACTTCTGGGATCCTGTTACTTGAGACATCTAAACTTCAAATTTTGTTTCCAGTTCCTAGAAAAAACTTCCTTAAACTAATTTCCTCCAATTGATTCCTCAAAATCTTTGTCTCCACTCTTTCATTCTCCTCAAGTTCTCCTAACTCCCCTTTGTTGCCCAACCATTCAATCTTTAGAGAGAATATCACTCTTAAACGATCTTGTGCCCAAAACCCTCTTTCTTCCATCTTTTAATAGAGCCTTTAATCACTTTCAATTTTTCTGTAGACTTAAAGCCTTCACAACCTCTACTATCAAGTGAACTCACACCATTTCGCGTAGGAACTCTTCTTTGTCACTCTGGATCAACACCAAGAGGACTGACCAGTCTAGGATCTTCTCCTTGAAACAACTCATTGCTCGTAGGAACAATCTCAAGAGGATAATGCAAGGCGAATCTTCTCTAAAGTGAAAGACTTTTCTTGCCCCCTATACCTTTCAGCTGCCTTCAAAGTTTGGATCATCTAGTCTTAAGAAAACACATGTTTTCGGGCAATAAGAAGGAACAACTTTTTCCCCACCCATGTTTACTCATCAACAAACTTTGAAAGAAAAGACTGTCCTCAATTGGATGTGCCAATTATATTAGGAATAAAACATTTGGTTGGGTGTGATGAATGCTTATGTATTTTATTCTCTCTGTTATCAGGATCTGGTGCCAAATATACATATGATAGATTTCCCTCAAATATTAGAACGGAAGAGCAAGAAGAAAAAAGAAAGCAGATACTTGCAGCAGCAAGCGGAGCCTTTGAATACTCAGGAAAGCATATGCCTAGGTAGATATAAACATGGCGAACTTGGACTATTAATTGGATCTGAATCCAAAAGTGAAAAGAAAAACAATAAAATCTAAGCGGTATTTTTGTTTTAGTCAATTGGAAAATTTCAATGTAATCGCAAATGGTAAAATTTTTGGAAATGTATTAACAAGAATAAGATCTCTTAACATTCCTTATAAGAACTCTGTTTATCAGCCTGTCACATCTCCAGTGTAGTTCCTAATTTTTGTTCTCTTTCCTTTCTAGCTCACCTTCTTTCCTCCCCAAGGACCCAATGGAGAGAGCAGTAAGTTCCATAATCATCATATTGCCTTAGTACCTACTATGTTCTATTTACTAGAGCTTTCTAGACTAATTTCATTGGTTTATTGTTCACAGGCTGAAAGGGACCGCATGGTTTTGGACATAAAGGTCAAGCTACAGGTACAACTTCTTTTTATTCTGTCTTTTTCCATCTTTGTTCTTTTGTATGGTTGTGTGTGAGTGAGATAGTTTAAAAATATTGTAAACTGTAATTATGCCTGTCTTGCCTTTGAGTACTTGATGTAGTGCCCTTTACATGATATTATCTTTAATGGTGAGCACTAAACAAGCTCTCTGCTTAAAACTTCCAGTGTTTATTTATTTATGAAGTTTGGAATAATCTGAATTTCCTCTTATTAATTGAATAAACGGAAGGGATATTTATACACAAGAAAAATAAGATCTTATCCTAAGAGAACTCCTAGATACTAGGAACTACTTTACACATTTATAGGGATTAGTTTACAACAGAACCTTAGCAATTATCCCACGATTCTAGGAGCCTATCACTCATCTAGATTCGGCTAGTTTGAATTTCAACACTCCCCCTCAAACTAGGCGGTATATACTCATTAGACCCAGCTTAGAGCTCAGTTCCGTGAAGTTGGGCCTGAAGAGGGACTTTGTAAGGATGTCCGCGACTTGGTGTTGTGATGGAACATGACTCAGTGATATGATATTGCCTTCTATTTTCTCACTGATGAAGTGTCTATCAATCTCCACGTGCTTCATTCTGTCATGATGGACGGGATTCTTGGCAATTGCTATGGCTGATTGGTTGTCACACATCATCTGGATTGGTCCTGAGATGCCAATTCTGAGTTATCCAGCAGTCGTTTTAGCCATATTCCCTCGCAAATGCCCTGGGCTAAAGCCCTAAACTCTGCCTCGGCGCTGCTATGTGCTACCACTGGCTGCTTCTTGCTGCGCCACGTGACCAAATTTCCCCAGACGTAGGAGCAATACCCTGAGGTGGACTTTCGGTCACTTG